TAAGTCAATTTCAAAGCCAGATTTCTAATCTCATGAAAATTCGCGCATGATTATTGCCTCTAGTTGTAACTGATCAAATAACCAAACGGGATGCAGCCTATATAATTAATTATATCCGCTTAGCAATAACGGTTTGTTTTTAGTGTGAGTTGTGCGTAAAAAATACAGTAAAATTCAAACATAGAAATCACTGTCCTGCTTATGAAAAAATTCATAGAGAAATTTCTCAAACTTTAGAAGTACCAAAAAATAAACGGAGATTGAAACATTCAAATTTACTTTGTCACAGATAGTCCTGACATCATCGCTGTTTTCCGATTCCTTTCCAAGAGCCGTAGCACAACTCAACACTGACAACAGCGTGTGTGTAGGAGATCGTTCGACGACGGCAGCATTATCGTCATTTTTGGTTCGATACATCTGATTTCCGCTTTCTTCGTCGAATTCTGTTTGTGAAAAATCAAGAGGGCATCTAAAAAAAAAACCACTGATTCGCATAGGACAAAGAAAAAATCAGCATCACCTACATGAAAAGTATATTCTCCTTCGTATATTTTCCGCGCATTTTTCTCCGCCGAAGGATCTCCTCGAAATTTTCGTCAGTAGCATCCTCTTTATACTCGATCAATGGTAAATCTCGACATTTAAATATCATTCTGACCGTAGTAAATAATAGAAATATTAGAAAGGCGGTGCGCTTTGAGAATATTCTTACTTTTGCAGCTCATGTAGAGACTCCTTAACCAATGGTGGTACTGGATTACAACAGTGGAGTATGCCTTGAAGTTCTCGAGGTAAACTCTAAAATACAGAATGGCTTTCTTAGTGAAGATGTTTTCTAAAGTCTGACAATAACCTCAGCAATGTTGAGCAACATGTGGTTGGGTAACACATACTGCACGCTTTCGTCCTCTTCTCGAGCCACCTGATCGCGCCAGCACCAAAGCACTTGCATAGCCGCATTTTGTCGGCTATTCAATCGGCGGCGTTCGATTCCATGGTAGCCATCTTTCTCGAAGACTGGTTTATGATAGACCTGCAAATAGTCGTTTCGATTTGTACGGAAAACTAAACTGATAAAGAATCAATGAAAATTGATTTAAAACATCTTAAAAATGCTCCTCGTACTGCATGAACTGAAAGCAAAAAATGTATAAGAAACCTCGTAGCAACCGTAAAAAAATGATAGAGATATTTGATCTCAAAAAATCTAAATTAACTAGTTTTCAAAATACCCTCGAGCAAATCAGGCCGCTGTCCGAATAGGTCACTCGCAGAAGATTCTGCAACTTATCTCCTTTTTCCAATAATTCTTCACGAAGACAGTCATAGCAGTGCAGTAGATAATGTGTGTCACAGCGAGCATATGCAATCATATCCTCCTCCAGTGGTCTATAAATGGAATAACATTTGGAGAAAAAGGATATCAACATTTATTTACCGTAATCTCCAGTCAGCAAGTTGATATCTTTTGTCTAGGGATACATCACAATAATGATGGACAAGATAACGTAGATTGAACTTTTGCATTTCCAAACGACGCATAGCCCTTCCAGTATCAAACATATTGACAACATAAATTCCAAAATCTCTTTGTAACCATTCAATGTCGTGTTCACCACCATGAAATACCTAAAAAGAGTATGGAAAGGTTAAGACGATAATGAAGACCAAGTCGAGAAGAATCAAAGCGCTGAAAAGTTAGTTTTTCTTACGAATTTCACTCTTTCTAAAAAAATTGCTCAAAAAGTTAATAACTGCCTTTTATACAACTCCGCAGACATGAAACTCTAGATAAATAATACAAAAACGTTAGTTTCCTTTCTCAACTTTGTCGAAAGAAGAGTGAAAATTTTGAACAACAGAAATCTAAAGTGAAAAGCAAGGATACCTTCAATATCTTTGGGTCAGTGAAAGGTTCATTTAGTATGTGCATTTCATTCCATAAAGGGAACGGATCAACTATAAAGTCTTCAGTTCTTGTAGAAATCTGCATGAGACAAGTCATGCCAAGGTAACTTCGAAGGTCATGATGCTGGAAAGAGATGGATAAGATTTTGGACAGAAGATGAGAACAAGCTATAATAGCGGA